AAAGCCCGTGTTGGAAAGTACATTGTATAAGTGTGTCCAATGAATCTGATAACCCTTGAACTTGGTTGCAAAATAACACTTTCCTGACACCTTTTTCTATGTTTTTAAAGGAATTTAAAGATTTGGATTGAGTATTTCTTGCCTATGTTTACTCATGCTAATTATATGCATGTTTGCTTTAAAAGCATATCTGTGATACATCTTGGTTTGGGAAGAAATTCACTATGTACATAACTCTTTCTTTCTTAAAGTGTGAAAGAACTTCGTAATTCACTTGCAGTCTTTTCTTAAAAAATCAGTTTGGTAGTGGAGGGTTATATTCTGTCTTTAGGGCTTGCTGCCTATTTGCCTATTCAGCCTAGTTACTTTATATATATTTCTTTTTAATTATGGATAGATGTAGATGGTAAGTTAGTTATCAGATACAATTGACTGAGTTCCTTTTGCCCCCCCATCACAAAAGGGCCATGTCAATGTGAGGTGATAATCAAGTTGGTTCTAATTGAAAGGGCTAAAACCTAATAGACTTGCTACAGCAATTTATGAAACTGCACAAACTGCAATGTTACCATTATGAATTGCAGTGAACAGGCAGTTGTAAGTAAGGATTCTCACATGATTCCTAGATGGCATAAGACTGCTAATTTTGTCTTGACATCTTTTGACATAAGTGCAGGTTTGCAGCTGATGAGTATGTGGGACTGTTTCTAGCCTTTTCCACTTTCTACTTATTACAGATGAGGACAGTTTAAAATGGCGATGGGTAGTGAAAGAGATTCAGCTTTAGCTCTGTGCTTAGGGCTGGGTTTGGGGGAGGTTTTTTCTTTGTGGGGTTTTTCAACAAAGATTGATGCAAGATTTGCATTTAAATAAATTATTCTACAGTTTTAGCCAATGTTCTAGGTAGATTTTATCTTTATTCCTTTTTATTTTTGTCAAAAACAGTAACTGCTGTTGTTTATTTATAAAATGTTACCATTTCTTACAATCTCTGATTTTTTTTCAGAAAATTACTTTCTTTTGGATGAAAAATGCTAACAGTTATGAAGCTCGTCAGTGAGGCAAATTTATAAATTGCCCATTGTCATGTATACTATGAATGTTACAAATGTTTGTTGGAAAGTTAGGTGCTTTAATTGTTCCACCTTTCTTTTGCCATGTTCTTCTTGGTCATTGTGTTAGCAATGCTGGGCACAATTTTCATTCACAGCATATAAAACATACTAATTTTTAATTATGTCTAAATAAATACTTAATTTTCAACAATAATCTTTTTCTATGTGTTAAGCACATAATAAGTAAAATACTTGCAGCTGTACATTAATGATCCAGTATGACAGGTAAATGTCAGCAAGTAATTTCTGTGTAAATCAGGTACCACATCAAAACCAAGATGAAATATTTGACTTTTTTTTTTTAAAGTGACTACAAAGTGCATGGAAAATTCTACACTTAGGAGACACCTGAAGAAGTTCTAAAGGAGGTGCTTTTATTTAGATTCTGCTTTCTAATACTTGCTTTTGAAGTTGGTAGTTTTTCTGTGTCTCAACTGCGAAGGCAGTTCTGCGGCATGTTAAACACAAATCAATACTTACATGGTCCAAGCTTATCTTTTCCTTTCCCTGCTCCTATAGTTCTACTTTCTCCCATGTGCTGGTGCTAATTCTTACCCAATTCCACAGTGAGCCATTCTAGAGTTAAATTAGCTGCTGGGAGCCACGCACCTCAGAGGAGGAGGGAAGCAAATGGAAGTGCTTTTAGACAGCTCAACAGCCTCAACCACATCGTCATGTGGTCATCTCTACTTGAAACCCACAGCCTATATCACTTCAGAATAAAAGTGTTATACTGTAAAGCCATCGTTTTGTAGAGCCATATAAAATGTATTTTATAAAAATACTAATTTTAAAGTACTGATTTAAGGAATTCAAAATTTACAACACACAAACAGCTTAAAATTTAGTTTCAGACATCCATGCTTAAGACAAATGTAGTTATACTAATTTATTGGACTAATATGTTTATATCTCATTTCTTTGTTATCTTTACATTCAGCTGAGCACAGTGTTTAAAAAAAAAAAAAAACCAAACCACCACACCCACAAAAGAACCCCAAACCCCACCACAACAGTCCACTATTCATAAGATGGATATTTTTATCTGCAAAACCTTTGGAGGGTGGATACAGCAATAATTTGAGATCTAGGTGAGCTTAAGAGTGGCCCCTGAGAGTCCTTGTCTTAAAGATTTTTCTTGACAAAATTTATTTTAAAAATTAGCAGTTTTCTTAAAACTGTGCTATAAATCTCCAACAGATTTTTCTCTTATCTTACAAATTTATTTTTTAACTATTGGATTCTTAAATATTATGTTACACAGAATTGAAGAGCAATTGCAGCTGAAAACATGAGCCTATAATAAAAGTTACATAAATGGACCTGTAGGTTCTGGTCAAAGGAAACTGTGGGGAAACTGTGTCCTTCCAATATGGAATATGTATCATATTATTTTCTGTTGCAGGGACAAAGGTATGTTGTTTGCATATCTACCTTCTATTCATTCTTTGCTTGTACTGAATTATTTTGATCAAATCTTAGTCTTAAACTTGTAATTTATCTAGAACACTTGCATCTGTGAGATGGTGCCTTTGTATCTAATTATGTGAAAGTTCTATCCTTCTTACTGCCTTATGGTTTCATTATTCTTCAAAGCTACTTAGGTTGTTCTTGTCAATATACTGCAGTATTATTGAACATTAATTACCAAGACTATCAAACTGAGTTATCAGCATAACAAGGTGAATGTTTGCAATTTAAGTAGAATCAAACATTTTCTATTCTTCTCTGCTCCATAGCATAATTTAAAATGAGAACGTCCTTGTTCCTTTCTAACTAAGAGCAAGAAAAGAGTTAGTATTTGAAGGTTCTTCGTCCTCATGTGTTATTGAAAATCTTCTAAAATTACTTTTGACTGAAACTTCTGTAGGTACATGATTAGAAGATTAGGGCTTAATTTAAACTTTATATTTCACAAACACATCTCTACAACTTAGTTCTAGCAAAGCCTTCAATATTTCAAGTTTATAATTTGCAAATTAAACAATTTCTCCCATTCTAAGTTTAGAAAAAGCCTGCAGTCTAAACAGTATTGAATTCTAGTTCATGTAAGCAAAAATTAAACTAACATGTTTTAATTGTTGTTGTTGAATGATGCAGAAGAAAAACAAACAGCTTCAAAAGTTGACCAGTCTGAAATCAGCACCAAATTCTAGAGAATGATACCACAAAGACCTGTGGTTTGCTGTAGGATGCACTGCTGCTGTGTTGGTTTCTCTATTCAGTGGTAATTTCCTTTCCCAGCTCTTTGCATGTGAACTTACTGGATTTCTATCACCTAGCCTACTTGGCATCCTAAATAGTTTACCCTTGATAACTGAGCTGCCATGATAATTTGGGAGGGGTTTAGTGGTGAGGTGAAATATTCACGAGGCAGATGGGATGTTGGAAAGCCACTAAAGGTGGCTGTTTGGCTTTATCACTTGGAGATATATTTGGGGAAGTCTGGTATTTTTCTCACTTCTCCTCCCTCTTCTAACCCTACTTTCCATCTCCTGACTTCCTTATGTAATAAGGGAGGGACCTAGAAAACTTAATTATACATAGCTATGCACATAGATATATATATACACACATACACACTAAAAGGAGGTTCGGCTTCATAGATATATAATTTGTGAAAGCATTTCTTATAGTATGGGTAAAATATGATGGAACGTTTAGGCTGTGGTCATTAGTGTATTGGCAAATAGGTAGGAGATTCAGTGACTTTGGCGGATGATCTAGTTTTTGCATATTAACTAAGGAGACTTCATCAAGCAACTTTACAAAATCACTTGAATTATGAATACTAAGCTCCTCAGAACTGTATGGGCTAAGGGACAATTTGGAAAGATTAAATTTTTTTGGTTTACAGTATGAGCTTTGATTTCACAGCCCGGATAAGCGGATTTCTTGAAATTTTTCTGGGCTGGGTATACCATCTCTCTAGCAAGTCAAGTGTGGTTATAACCAGGACTTGCAGCAGTTGTCATTAATGCAGCAATTCTAGCTGCTGGTTTTTGTCTGCTTACACTCACCTATCTCTCTGTTCTTCCTTCTCAGCCCATACAAGGTAACTTGTGGTGGCCTGTCTCTTAGTAGGAGGGCAGTGTATTTCTGAATATGGGAGGCAGGGCTGCAAGGTCAAAATGTGATCATAGTGATTGTTCCTAGAGTGGATAATGAAGCAGTACATTGATTAGGGTTTTTTTTATTATTCCTCCCCACCCCCATGATGTGCTCTGTGTGTCAGAATTCTAGATGCAAATAGATATTGCTTGTTTAAATGTTAAAAGGTTCTGTTAAAGATTTTGGAAATACATGGATTAAAGGCTTTGAAGAACCATTTTGAAAACCTGTAAATTGGTCAGATTTGCCTAATTCTGTAAACCTGGAATTCATTAGTCATTGTGTTAGTCAACTTTCCAGTCTTGTTTTTATCTTTTAATATAGGTTACGTATTACATGTGAACTTATGACTCTTCTTAAAGTCTTGCTGACAGGACAGGAGTTTAAAACTAGTTTAGAAAATTAAAAAAGTTTGTATGGTAGATTTGTGATGGTAGACTTATATAAAAGCTACTTTTTCTTTCTAACTAAACACAGGAATTGAGTTAACTACTAGGCACTTACTCTTCTAAATATATCTTATTATCATCAGAAATAAAATGTAAAACTTTCTCTAATTATGGATCAAGATGAAAATGCATCAACAGTCTTCAAACAAAAGATCTAAATTAAATGATTAGGTTAAGGATTTTGAAAAGGTCTAGTTTTATATCATGTAATTTTTCACATTTTAAAAAATAATAAATTATTCACAGCTGATTGTCTCTTGCAAACAGGGTTTCTGATTTTGAAAATACAAAGCTGACAGTCTTTTTTTTTTTTCTTCTTTGGCAGATGGGGATGGACAAAGTGAACATTTATTACCAGTCTGTGAAGATACAACATGTCAGAAAAGTGCCATCTACTTAACTAAGCTGGGATTGGATCAGGTATTGTGAGTTTGGAATTGCAAAGACAAAGGAAAATACTGTGCTTTATGAAATAGGAAAATGATTTTTCAGGAAAGAAAAATGAAACTTCCTCATCTGTAATTATTGCATACAATATATTTTTATTTATTTATTATTTCTCAAAAAAAATATGCGTTTGGTGGAAGAGGCTGCATACCTAGAATTCTATATAATGGGTAATTCTACTCCAGAAAGTTATTGATGTTTCTGATGATTCACTTTCTTGATTTCA